GCCCGCCGGCCCGCCCGGCGCCGGGCCATGGCGCTGCTGCGGGACGTGTCGCTGCAGGATCCGCGGGACCGCTTCGAGCTGCTGCAACGCGTGGGGGCCGGGACCTATGGCGACGTCTACAAGGTGCGCCCGGCGCCTGGACGGACGGGAAAGCAGCGAGGAGGGTGCCAGCTCCGCGCCCTGCCGCGGGATCCAGCCCCCAGCCCCGCCCCCTCCTCATCCCGCTTCTCCCCCTCCGCCCCTGCAGGCCCGCGACACGGTCACGTCCGAACTAGCTGCGGTCAAGATAGTCAAGCTAGACCCAGGTGAGGGCCCGGGGCCAGGGCCTCTGCGCTGGAGGGAGGGCAGAGAGCCTCGCTGCGCGGTGTGAGGGACAGAGTTGACATTTCAGAGACCTCCTGAGAGGCAGGCCCCTGGAGGTGCTGTCAAGCTCCGAGAGAAGCACTCTGTGCCCCTTTGCAGATGAGGGCACTGAGTTAGGGCGATCCCTCTACGTCCCCCACCCATGATGCCCTGTGCTCCCCAGGGGACGACATCAGCTCCCTTCAGCAGGAAATCACCATCCTGCGTGAGTGCCACCATCCCAATGTGGTGGCCTACATTGGCAGCTATCTCAGGTGAGGCCACTTTTTTCCCCTGCTCACCCCCAGGCAGCCCCCATGTGGCCTTGCCATGTGCCTACCCCAGCTCTGTGTCCCCCTCCCCAGGAATGACCGCTTATGGATCTGCATGGAGTTCTGTGGAGGAGGGTCTCTGCAGGAGATTTACCACGGTGAGGGCCAGGACTCCAGGCCCCAGAGGGCCACAGCATTCTTCCCACCCCCACCCCAACATAGGGCAGGAGGGAGAGCTGGGGCCCTGGACTTGGTCCCCTCTCTACTCACTGGCTCTGTGACCTTGAGAGAAATACTATCCTTCTCTGGGCTCTGTAGCCCAGACTGCAGGGAGGGGATGTGGGCAACCTCTTTCACCTAGCAGTGTCTGCTGCTTCCCCAACCCGGGGTGGCCTGGGAGGGTCAGCCTATCCCCCCAGATCGCCATACCAGCCTTTGCCCCTTCATTTCAGCTACTGGGCCCCTGGAGGAACGGCAGATTGCCTATGTCTGCCGAGAGGCACTGAAGGTAGAACCCCCAATCCCCAGGAGCTGTGGGCAGGGAGCCCAGCTGACTAATGTGGAATTGGGGGGTGGGGTGGAGTGCCTCAGGCAGGGCTGGCCTGAGGGGCTGTGGGTCCTGGGGGAAGGGGCCCCAGCCCTGTTGCCGGAAGCAGCCCATTTCCCTCTTGGCTCAGCCACTTCCTGTTTGGGGAGAGGGGAGGAGGAAGCGGCTTGGGTGGGGGGCCCCAGCCCTCAGAGGGGGTTCAGGAGAGGTGGGATGGTGCTGGGTAGCTGCCCTCAGGGGGGCTCCTCTTTGTCCCCAGGGGCTGCACCACTTACATTCTCAGGGGAAGATCCACAGAGACATCAAGGTAGGGTTTGGCTTCGGGCATCAGGGAGGGAAGAGGTGGCTCCTGGGAGCACCAGATGGGATCCTCTCTCCTCCATTCCCACAGGGAGCCAACCTACTCCTCACCCTCCAAGGAGATGTCAAGCTGGGTCAGTACCCTGGGGACACAATCAGGGTGAGGGTTCTGTGGGAGCTTCCGGCGTCTTAGAGTCTGCAAGCTCTGGGTGACCTTGGACAAGTCATTTTACCACTTGGGCCTGTTTCCCCATTGAAAAAGTGGAACAGTCCTCCCTGCTAGAAGTGGGGTCTGCATAGAATCCAACAGGCGACCTAGCCAACAGGTCAGAAATAGAAGGTGGTTGACCCCTCCCAGGAGGGGGACCTGCCTTGGCAGTTGTGGTTGAAGTTGGTCTGCCTGCTCTCTGAGCCCTGCCAGGTGCATCCTGAGCCTGAGCCCTGGAGGTGGTGGGGAGTGGCAACCAGAGAGAGGGTGAGAGTCACTCTTTCTCCCTGCAGCTGACTTTGGGGTGTCAGGCGAGCTGACGGCATCTGTGGCTAAGAGGAGGTCTTTCATTGGGACTCCATACTGGTGAGGCTGCATCATGGGCTGAGGGAGTGGGAGCCACAGGTAGGGCACCCGGCCATCCTATCTGTGACCCCGCCTCTAGGATGGCCCCGGAGGTGGCTGCTGTGGAACGCAAAGGTGGCTACAACGAGCTGTGTGATGTCTGGGCCCTGGGCATCACCGCCATTGAGCTGGGCGAGCTGCAGCCCCCTCTATTCCACCTGCACCCCATGAGGTCAGCTGAACACCTGCCCCTTGCCTGACCCCAGGGGCCCTGCTGACCCTCGACTCCTGACCTTGTGTTCTCCACAGGGCCTTGATGCTCATGTCCAAGAGCAGCTTCCAGCCGCCTAAGCTGAGAGACAAGACTCACTGGTGAGGACCCACATCCCCTGCTGGGGCCCCCTTTTCAGCCAGTCTGCACAGGGGCGGAGGAACCTTCTGCCAACTCGCAGGGTACAGCCTCAAGAGCCTTGCCCTCTCTGAGCCTCCACAGACCACCTGTGGGAGGGGCCTGGGCCCCACCTCTGGGCCCTGGACGGTGTGCACAGGGAAGAAGGGCAGATGGTCGATGATGGAGGAGTCTCATGTCGCAACAGCAGGATTGCTCAGGCCTTTTGCCCTCGGCCTCCAGCTGGCTCCTTCCTGGGCGGGCCTAGCAGGCTCCTCTAGAGCGGTGGCAGGAGGCAGGTGGCAGGATGTCCTGCATGAGGGCTGAACCTGGGTCTGGGGCGGGGGCTCTTATGCCCACTAGGACCCAGAATTTCCACCACTTCCTCAAGCTCGCCTTGACCAAGAACCCTAAGAAGAGGCCAACAGCAGAGAAGCTCCTTCAGGTGGGAGACAGGGAATGGGGCGGGGGTTCGAAGCTTGAACGCAGGATCCTGGGGGCCAGGGACCAACCCGAGTCCCCCTCAATCCTCCAGCACCCATTCACAACCCAGCAGCTCCCTCGGGCTCTCCTCACACAGCTGTTGGACAAGGCCAATGACCCCCACCTGAGCACCCCCTCCCCAGAAGACTGTGACCTGGAGGTAAGTGAGGGGAGCTGGCAAAACGGGTCTTGGCCTGGCCTGGTTGTAGGGAGTGCAAAGGTAAAATAGGTCAAGGTCCCTTTAAGTTGAATATTTCCAGCACAGGGAGCTTCCCTCCAGGTGAGCCACCCATTAGGAATCTTCCCTGAGCCGGTCTTGCTTCCCTACACTCCCCCTTGATAGGTTCCTGCCTTTGGTCCAGGCTGACCATGAACCGCGCTCAGCCATCTTCTGTTTTCTGTGTGATCTTTGGCCAGTTACTTGCCTCTCTGTGCTGGTTTTCTCATTTGTGAAATGAGGGTGCCATTTAATATCATAATGATCTTAGAGGGCTGTGAAAACAAAACACGTCGATGTGTGCAAAGCAGGTCCAATGATACCTGGCGTGAGGCGAGTGCCAGGTGTGTGTCCACTGTTTGTGTTCCTTCTTAGACTTATGACATGTTTCCAGACACCATTCATTCCCGGGGTCAGCACAGCCAGGCTGAGAGGACCCCCTCAGAGATCCAGTGTGAGTTGGCGGGGGGTGGGAGTGGCTGTGTGTGTGGATTTGTTGGGGGGGCTGAGTGTGTGGATTTGGTGGGGGGCTGAGTGTGTGGATTTGGTGAGGGGGCTGTACATGTAGATTTGGTGGAGGGGCTGTGGATTTGTTCAGGGGGGCTGTGTGGATTTGGTGGGGGACTGTGTGTGTGGATTTGGTGGGGGAACTGAGTGTCTGGTTTTGGTAGGGGTATGTGTATATGGATTTGGTGGCGGGGGCTGAGGGTGGTTTTGTGGGGGATGTATGTGGGTTTGGTGAGGGAGCTATGTGTGTAGATTTGGGGGAGCTGAGTGTATGGTTTTGGTGGGGGGGGCTGTGTGTGGATTCCTTGTGAATGTGTGGGATGCCAGCCCTCCAACCCTTGTACGCTCGGCCTCTCAGTTCACCAGGTGAAATTTGGTGCTCCACGCAGGAAGGAAACGGACCCACTAAATGAGCCGGTGAGGGGGCTGGCTGTGTGGGAAGGGTGGTGCGCAGGGGTGGGCTAGGGTGCTATGCTGGAGGTCAAGCATCTCAACTCAAGGATGTTTGAAGCAGTGGCAGCCTGGCCCTCAAGCCTTGGAAAGCTGTCCAAGCCCAAGCAGGCCTGTCCCACCGAGGGACATGGAAGGCTAGGGGCTCCTTCCTGGGCCAAGTTCCTTTGGATAGTCATCTAGAAGGTGGCAAGGTGACCACACCTTTCTAAAAAGTAGGCCTGTCACATGCCCAAGCCCCCACTTCACCCTGTTCAGTGCGTTTCTCTCTGCCTCAATATCTGCGTCTGTCATTGGCTGTCTGACTCACAATTTTTCTGGTCTCACTGTCTCTCATTATCATCATCTCTTCACTCCCACAGTCTCAGTCACTCTATATCTTGCTCTGTCGCCATCTCTATCTCATTCTCTCTTGCTGTTAGTCTGTCTGACAACCTCTTTGCCTCATTCTCTCTCTCTCTCTCTCTCTCTCTCTCTCTCTCTCTCTCTCTCTCTCTCTCTCTCTCTCGCGCGCGCGCGCGCGCACAAATCTCTCGCCTATTACCATGTCGTTTTCCATTTGTCTGTGTGTCTGTCTTCTCTCTCACAATCTCTTGATCGCCTTCTCATATTGCCTTTCTTTCTCTCTGCCTCTCTCCCCGTCTTCCTGATTCGGTTTCCCCACAGTGGGAAGAGTGGACGCTGCTGGGAGAGGAGGATCTGAGTGGGTGAGTGAGGGAGAGAGAAGCTGCAGGGGAGGGGTTGGGGGCAGCAGAAAAGGCGGACCCCTAACCTCATCCCCTTCCTGCTCAGGAGCCTGCTGCAGTCCGTCCAGGAGGCCCTGGAGGAAAGGTGACAGGCTGGGCTCACAGGAGGAATGGGGCCGCCAGGCCTGGGCTCAGTCACATCTCACCTCATTTCCCTCTTATTCGTGCACCATAGGAGCCTAACCATCCGACCAGCTGTGGAACTCCAGGTTCGGAGTGGAGGGAAGCTGGGGGTGGGGGCAAGTGCTGCAGAGGGCGCTGTTAGGGTGGAAGCAGGTTACAGGGTGATTTGCTAACAGCTGGGCTGGGCCCCCCTACCCTCCTGCCAGGAATTGGACTCTCCACACGATGCCATAGGAACCATCAAGCGGGCCCCACTCTTGGGAGCCTCCCCTTCTGAGCCTCCAGCTGAGGACCCTCTATCTAGCCCCTCAGGTGAGTCCTAGGCTTGGGGGACCGGGAGGCAGGCCCAGCGTGAGGGCTGGGGCTGGAATTCACGTTGAGTCTGTGCCTGCAGGAACCCCACCCCCTCCTCTCCTAGGCCCTGACAGCCCCCTGCCTCTCCCCACCTCCTGGGCCACCATGAAGCACCAGGAGGATTCTGAGGTGAGGGGGGGCGCCACAGAGGGACTGGGGATATGAGAGGCCAGGGGCGTCACACCAGCCCTGACTTCTCCCTTCCCTCCCAGAGATCATCTTGCCATGGGCTTCCCCCGACCCCCAAAGTGCACGTAAGTGTTTGCCCCGGCCCCCGCCGCACTGCTGCCCTGCAACCCCTCTGCCCACTGCCCCTGTGCTGCTTTACCAGCTTCTCGCCTCCTCCCCAGATGGGCGCCTGCTTCTCCAAGGTCTTCAATGGCTGCCCCCTGCGGATCCACGCTGCTGTCACTTGGATTCACCCTGTCACCCGGGGTAGGCCATGCGCAGGGAGGAAGCAGGAGTCTGGGAATCCCAAGCTTGGGCCAAGGGGCATGGCTGACCTCTGACCCCGTACCCAAACCTGCAGATCAGTTCCTGGTGGTAGGGGCTGAGGAAGGCATCTACACCCTCAACCTGCATGAACTGCATGAGGACACACTGGAGAAGGTGAGGCCCGGCAGGCTGTGGAGGGCAGAGCGCCTTGGGGTGTCTGGGGTGCTGACCCCCTGTCCACTTGTCGCTCTGTGGCCTCCAGCTGATTTCACACCGCTGCACCTGGCTATACTGTGTGAATAATGTGCTGCTGTCACTCTCAGGTACAAATGGGGGCACGCGGGGGGCTGGGAGAGGCAGGGGATGCACCCTGCCCACCAACACTCTCTGAGCCCCCCTCTCTCTCTCCCTGGCAGGGAAATCCACGCACATCTGGGCCCATGACCTCCCAGGCCTATTTGAGCAGCGGCGACTACAGCAGCAGGTCCCCCTCTCCATCCCCACCAACCGCCTCACCCAGCGCATCATCCCCAGGTCAGGGAACCCCATGGGAGCCTGGGTGTGCAGGGGACAGGAGAGTAGCAGGGAGACAAAGGGGCAGAGCCGGAGTTGGAATATGGCCTTGCCCGCTATTGGAGCCTTAGATCTTAGACATGTTAGTTTGCCTCTCTGAGCCCGTTTCCTCATCTGTCAGTGCAGTTGACTGCCTCCCCTCCCCCTCCCCCGAGCGGCCTGTTGGAAGGCAAGAAGGAGATAGTGGATTTGAAAGTGCTTCACAAATTGTGGGAGCTGTGGTTGTTCGAATGTGGGCTAAATGCTTACTGAGCACTTAGCATACGTCCGGTCTTATGCTGGGCTTGCAGACAAGGAATCAGTGAGTCCTTAAGGTCAGCACCTGATACTGAGGTGCACCAGAGGGAGGGCTGGGAGGGGCGGGAAGCTTCTGAGAGGGCAGGTTTGCTCCTGGAGTTTGGAAGTGTAGAGAAGTCCTCCAGGCAGACGAGGGAGAGGGAAGAGCAAATGTGAATGCATGTTGGTCACCTGGGGAGTTATAAGGTGTTTGCAGAGCAAGCTGCACAGGTGGCAGAGTGCCTCCTTTGATGGTAGGCCCAGGATTTGAGCTTTATCCACCTGGCCGCAGCACCGTGAGCATTTTAGAAGGACCCCTCTGTGTGTCAATCAGGATTCTTCCTGCAGGTGATTCAACTCACTGGCTTAAGCATGAAAGGGAATTTATACACCTGAAACTAATTTAAAAAAAAAAAAAGAATTTAAAGGCTCGTGTAACTGAAAATCTAGGCGTAGTGTTAGCTTCAGCTGGACCCAGGCGTAAATGGCATCATCGGGAACGTTTCTGCATCTCTTGGCTCTGTTTTCCTCTTGTCGCCTTCATTCTCACATGGGCTTCCCAGTTAACCGATGGGTGCTAACCGATGGGTGCCTGCAGTGCTAGACCAGCATTCCACTAGCTAAAACCCTGTGGAACCAGAATTTCTATTTACAAGTAATTTCCACAACAGCCCCGCGGCCCGTTCTCATTGGTGTAGCTTAGGTCCATGCCCACCCCTGAGCCAGTCTCTGTGGCCAGAGGATGAAGAGCTTAGGGGGAGGGGTCGTGAGGCCTGAGTCACATGCCCCCTTCTTGAGCTGGGGGTAGGGAGAGAAGTTTGACTGGACAGATGAAAATAAGAGGCATCTGGGGCAGCCGGTTAGTTCAGTTGGTTAGAGTGCAGGGCTCATAGCACCAAGTTTGCTGGTTCCATCCCCACATGGGCCGCTGAATTGCGCCCTCTACAGCTAGAATGAAAGGACTGCTCGACTTGGAGCGGATGGGTCCTGGAGGAACACACTGTTCCCCAATAAAATAAAATTTAAAAAAAATTAATTAAAAAAAAAAGAGGCATCTGCTGGCCGGCTATGGTGACATGACAATGGCAAGGATAGATTGGAGGGGGAGGCTGAGGGCACCTGGAAAGGAGGCCAGCATAGTGACCTGAGAAGACGGGGGTTAGGCTATGGTATGGTGAGAACCGGAGAGAATCAAGCAAATGGGGGATCTCCAGGGGGATAGATTGTGTTGTGTATTTATGAGGTGTCCAGGGAGGTGTCCAAGTTAGTCCCTCATTCATTATCTACTCAGCACCTAGTATGTGCCAGGCAGTGTTCTGGGGGCATGAAATACATCTGTGCACTAAGAAGGCTTTATATTCTTCAGATTTTTATTGATAGAGACAGGCAAACAGTCACCATAAATGTGGGGTATATTCTGAGATGATGCATAGAGGGGAAAGTGCTATGTAGAGAGGGCGGGCCAGGAGGTGTGGGGCATGGATTGTGGGATTTTTTGTTTGTTTGCTTTTGTAAGATTTTTTTTATTGGGGAATTGGCGGAGGGGAACAGCGCTGGGGAATCGGGGACGGGGAACAGACAAGTTGCTGTCCTTTTGTTCTTCAGTGTAGTTGCGGAGGACATCGCTTCACTGGCCCATGTTGGTATTATCATTGCACTCTTCCCGGGTGAGGCAGATCGGTCGCTGGTCACTGGATGGCCGCTCACGGTGGCTCTTGGCAGCTCACGCCGGCTGCAGGCCGCTCATGATAGCTTACGGGAGCCCACTGCAGTTCCACTGCAGCCTACGCCATCGCCGGCGACTCATAGCAGCCCAGCTCCAGGTCGAGCCGTTGTTCACAATCTTAGCTGTAGAGGGCGCAGTGTCACTGGCCCTCATGTGGGATCTGAACCGGTGCCCTGCTGCTCAGAGCTGGCGTCCCAAGCCAACTCTTAACAAATGCGCCACTCGGCCGGCCCTGGATTGTGGTTTTAAACCGGGTGGTCAGGAAGGACCTCGCTGAGATGGTGCTTATTTGAGCAAAGACTTGGAAGAGGTGATGGAACAAACCCCGTGGATACTTGGGGGAAAGGCGTCCCAGGGAGGGGGGAATCAGTGCAAAGGCCCTGGGGCAGGAGCAGGGCTGGCCTGGTTGAGGACCAGTAAGGAGACTGGTGTGGCCAGATAGATGAAATGAGAGGGAGACAATGTGACAGGGCCCTGTGGCCACAGTGAGGCCTTTGGCTTTGACTCAGAGCAGCCTGAGTATCACTGCAGAGGAGTTACATGGACTGAGGGATCACTCTAGCTGCTGTGTTGAGAATAGATTAGGGGGGATGAGGGTGGAAGCAGGAGACCTGTCAGGAGGCTGTAGCAGTAATCAGATGGGAGGTGATGGTGGCTTGGGCCAGGGTAGCAGTGAAGGAAGAGAAAAGTGGTTGGATTCTGGTTTTATTTTGAAAGTTGAACCAACAGGATTTCCTGACAATTGGTGGATGGAAGAAAAAGAGAGTTGAGGATGACTCCAAGCTTTTTGGCCTAGGCAACAGGAAGGATGGAGCTGTCATCAGCTATGGGTGGAGCAGAATTCAATGTTGTTACATTGAGTTTGAGATGCGCAAGTGGGACCTACATCAGCCATTGGCTGGGTCGAGGCTGAGTTCCAAGGTGGATGGCCAGACTATGGGCTGTGGTCTTGGACATTATGACAAGGTGGGTGGTGGAAGATGTGGGCCAGGCTGGGGAGGCCAGGCCAGTGGCCACACCACCTGGAAAGTTGGGGGCCCAGGCCCTTCCTGCAGTGTGTTCACTTGAGGTCCGCATCTGGATGCCCAGCCTCAGGGCTTCCTAAGCTCAGTCCAGCCTTTGCTTTGGCCCAGGATCTATAGGAAACAGGCCCATTGGAGCCCTAACAAGTCATAGGCAGCTTTGGGCGTGTGCTTGGGAAATCACGGAATCCCAGTGTCCACTTCAAATGTAAACAACAGAGAAGCAGAATTGTTTGGAGAAAAAAATCTAATACAAAAATCTCTCTCATCCGAAAGGCCAGTTGGGGAAGAGAGTAGGAGGAACAAGGGGAGGGAGAGGAGTGAGGACAGAGGGGCAGAGATAGACAGGCCGGCAGGCGTTGGCTTCCTCGGTGGGGCCCACATCCTGGCAAGAGTACAGCCAGGGCCTGGCTCGCTGGGAGGAGGTGGCAGGGCTGCTGACATGTAGCCCTAGTCCCCAGAAGAAGTAGGCTCAGGAGGTCCCTTGGGGGGTTGGGGGACAGCCAGTAACCAAGACAAGGACCCCACTTCTCCCCAGGCACCAAGGCGAGCCAGCCACTGGCTGCACATGGCCGTGGTCTCAGCTGAAGCAGCTGGGGACAGGCCATTGCCGTTTCCTACGTCTTAATCTCCGGGCCTGTTTGCCCATCCATGACACAGGTCACATGGGGCGCAGCTGGGCTGGGAGCACCCGGGCCTGCCTCAGCTCCCAGTCCCTCCGTGCTCTCATCTCATCGTTCATTTCTCATTTATACCCAGCTTTTGCCTAAAAAGGATTTTTAGTGACTGGAAATAGGTGTGAAAGTAATAACAGAGGATGTTAAAAGCTAGCCCTTTGTGCGTACACGCAATGTGCCAGGCTGTGCTGTAGCCCTTCCCTGTATTAACTCATTTAATCCTCACTGCAACTATGGGGGGGGTGTGCCACTGTTATCCCACTCTACAGATGAGGAAACTGGGGTGTGGAAAGGTTAAGTGACTTGCCCAAAGTTACACAGTTAGAAGTAGTTCTGTGATCCAAACCCCTGGACTGGGCTGGACAGGCTGTGAAGGGGGGTGCTGGAGCTGAGACACCGGCTTTAGATCCTGTGCCCTTCACAGCTGTGTTCCGTGGCAGGTCGCTTTGCCTCTCTGAGCCTCAGTCTTTTGCCTGTAAAGTGGGGAAGATGATAGTACCCACCTCTTAGGGCTCTGTGGGGGCCTTGCTCATGGATAGCACCCATGACATGTGCCCTGGTTATCACCCCTACAGGCGCTTTGCCCTGTCCGCCAAGATTCCTGACACCAAAGGCTGCCTGCAGTGTCGTGTGGGTAAGAGCGGGGCTGGACAGGACCGGGGAGTGGATGGGGCACCAGCTCAGGCCGGTGCCCACTGCTTGCCTCTCTTGCAGTGCGGAACCCCTACACAGGCAGCACATTCCTGCTGGCCGCCCTGCCTGCCAGCCTGCTCCTGCTGCAGTGGTATGAGCCGCTGCAGAAGTTCCTGCTGCTGAAGGTGTGGGGCTGGTGGGTGAGGCCAAGGGGACCCTCAGGTGGGGGGCAGGGGCCTGGGTGGGAAAATGGAGACCTAAGCACCCCTGCTGCCCCCAGAACTTCTCCAGCCCCTTGCCCAGCCCAGCAGGGATGCTGGAGCCACTGGTGTTGGATGGGAAGGAGCTACCACAGGTGTGCGTGGGGGCTGAGGGCCCCGAGGGGCCTGGCTGCCGTGTGCTGTTCCATGTCCTGCCCCTGGAGGCCGGCTTGACACCTGACGTCCTCATACCACCTGGTAAGCAGGAAGGCTGGGCTGCCGTGTGTGTGTGTGTGTGTGTGTGTGTGTGTGTGTGTGTGTGTGTGTGTGTACATGCTTACAGCTCTACAGAGACCTTGGGGGCCCCAAGCTCCCAGCCTCCCTTCAGCTAGGCTCCTGTAAAAGATTTCAGTAGACTAAAGGGCTCAGCAGCTAAGAAAAAGCTGACCAACACTAAAGGGGCTGTAGGAACAGAGCCAAACCCGGCAAGGCAGGCTCCAGAGGCCTCCATTCTGAGCAAGGAAGCAGGACACTGGGTGTTGGGACAGCTCAGGGCAGTAGAGTGAGTGGCAGTGAGTAAAGGAAGAGGGAAGGTGCACTGGACTAAGGCCTAGCTGTGTCCCAGGCCCCGAACCAGGGGTCTAATGCGCAGGATTTCATTCTTTTTTTTTTTTTTAAGATTTTATTGGGGAATTGGGGGAGTGGAACAGCATTGGGGGATCGGGGAAGGGGAACAGACAAGTTGCTGTCCTTTTGTTCTTCAGTCTAGTTGTGGAGGACGTTGCTTCACTGGCACATGTTGGTATTATTATTGTGCTCTTCCTGGGTGAGGCAGTCGCTTGCCGGCCATTTGGATGGCTGCTCACGGTGGCTCACGGCAGCTCACACCGGCTGCTGGCCACTCATGCCGGCTGCCAGCCACTCACGCTGGCTGCCGACCACTCATGGTAGCTCACAGCAGCCCACTGCAGCAGGGGCTGCAGCCTATGCCATCGCCAGCGACCCACGGCAGCCCAGCTCCAGGTCGAGTTGTTGTTCACCATCTTAGCTGTAGAGGGCGCAGTGTCACTGGCCCTCATGTGGGATCCGAACTGAGGCCCTGCTGCTGCATCCCAAGCCAACTCTTAACCAACGCGCCACTTGGCCGGCCCAGGATTTAATTCTTAATCCTCACGTTGGCCCTGCAAGGTTGTCATCCTCATGCCTGTGTTATGAAGAAACCGAGGCTCGGAGATTCGAGGTCACACAGCAACTGAGTCCCGAAGCCTCGTTCTCCTGACTTCAGAGCCCCTGCCCTCTCCCAGCTCCCTGGGACTCACCCCGCTCTGTGGAAGGGTCCCTTCGCCTCTCTGAGCCTCAGTTCCCCAGCTGTGAAGTGAGATTAAGCCTCCTGACCCCATATCGGGCTGTTGTGAGAATGAAATGCCCTTATGGCCAAGGGTTGTCTGTAGCCTGTTCGTCCACCATGTCCTCTTGGGGCAACAGTAGGGCTGGTGGCTCAGTGCAGTCATGTCTCCCTTCTCTGCCTGCAGAGGGGCTCCCAGGCTCGGCCCAGCAGGTGATCCAGGTGGACAGGGACACAGTCCTAGTCTGCTTTGACCGTGAGTGCCCCCAGGGTTAGGGCTTCGGGCAGTGGAGGGTGGGGGGTGAGGGAAGCATGTGTGTCACCTCCCCAGAAGGGAGCCACCCTTCCCCGCCCACCAGCCCACTCCCTGTGCAGGCTGTGTGAGGATTGTCAACCTGCTGGGCGAACCCACGGCTACACTGGCACCTGTACTGACCTTTGACTTCCCCATTGAGACTGTGGGTGAGTAAGCCAGACAGCGATGGGGGGACAGGAATATCCCCCGCCTGGAGCATATGATGTGGGCCTAGGACTGGCAGTGGGACAAAGAATCAGGCCCCCTGGCCCCTCTTAAGAGCCATCCTGGTCACCTGTGGTCCGTGAGGACCTCTGTGGCTCAGACCTGGGCCCAGGGCATGGCTGGGGAAGCCAGTGTCCCCAGGGCAGGCACAGGGCTGACAGCAGTCTGGCCCCTCCTAGTGTGTCTGCAGGACAGCGTGCTGGCCTTCTGGAGCCATGGAATGCAAGGCCGCAGCCTGGATACCAACGAGGTGAATGGGACTCAGGAACCTGGCTGCCCTCCACCCAGTTGTCCCCACCTTTTAGGGACCACCCGCTGGGGTGGCCTCAGTATCCCTTTTCTTCCCAGGTGACCCAGGAGATCACAGATGAGACAAGGGTCTTCCGAGTGCTTGGAGCCCACAGGTAAGAAGGACATGGGGCTCCAGCCTCCCGTTCAGATGCCCCTGAGGCCAGATGGACGTGCCCAGGTGTCTTCCTGCCCTGCTCACCTCCGGTTCTCTCTCCCCTCCAGAGACATCATTCTCGAGAGCATTCCCACCGACAACCCAGGGGCTCACAGCAACCTCTACATTCTCACGGGCCATCAGAGCAGTTACTGAGCGGGCCTGGCCTGGCCAGTGACATTCCTGCACCCCACCTCCATGCCTTAGCTGCAGTCCATTTTAGGTAGAGGGTCCCCTCCCAGATCAGAGAAGCCCAGGCCCCCGGCTCTGCTGGGCTGAAGGGCGGAAATAATCCTGAGAAGTTCTGGGTCTGTGGAGGGGAGGGGAGGCCACCCCACAGCCCTGCAATAACTGGACCAGAGGAAGCTGCTGTCACCTGCCCCTCCCCTCGGGCAGCCCAGGCCCTGGTGCCCCTTGGCAGGGTGGGGGCAGGCCCTGGGTGATCCGTTCCACTTTGTTCCACATTTCCTCTCCACTCTTCCTGCCGAGAGCCTGCCCCTTTGCCCTGTCCTGGGAACATATTTAAGAGAGAGAACTATATTGGTATTAAAGCTGGTTTGATTTATTCCATTGGTCCCTTTGGGTCAGGGGCAGGGGGCACTGCGCCCTACTGCCTCATTTCCCTCCTCTCTCCTTCCCTCCAGCATATCTTTCTGTGGCACCAGGTGCTGCGGATGCACCATGGAAGGGCAGGCCACCAGTGTCGTGGTGGCTCCCTCATGGGGGTACCAGGCAGCAGTGCTGGGGAGGCCAGTGGCCCCATAAGGCGTCTTGCGGCGCTGTGTCTTCCTGGGCTCCCCTCTCAGGATAAGCCCTCAGCTTTGCAGTACTGCCAAGGATCATGTAGATGGGAGGTCCCTGAACAAAGGGACTCTCATCCAGGCAGCTCCGCCCCATATAGGATCTCATC